AAAAGAGTAGCAACAAACATGGATGTACAAGTGTCTCTGCAATAGGATGAGTTCTTTGGGTATATGCTAAGGAGTGATATAACTGGGTCAAACGGTCAGTTCATATGTAGTTTTTTAGAGTTCTCCATACTTTTCCATAGGGGTTGAACAAGTTTGCAGCCCCACCAGCAGTGGATGACTGTTCCCCTTTCCTCACATCCTCTCCAACATTTGGTATCATTTGTTCTCTTGATCTTAGCCAGTCTGACTGGGCTAAGATGAAATCTTAAAGTAGTTTTAATTTGCATTTGCCTAATTACTAATGATGTTGAACACCTTTTAAGATGCTTCCTAGCCATCTTTATTTCTTCTTTTGAGAACTATATGTTCAGATCCTTGGCACATCTTTTAATTGGGTTATTTGCTTTCTCGATTCTTTGTTTTGTGAGTTCTTTAAATATTCTGTCCGGTTTAGAAAATCCTTTCGTACACCTATATCTTGTAGGTTTTTGCCCATGTTTTCTTCTAACAGTTTCAGAGTTTCAGGCTTTACATTGAGGTCTTTGATCCATTTGGAATTGACTTTTGTGCACCTACCTCCTATTCGTATCACACCATCTTCTGAAGAGGATACCCAAATTGCCAATAGGGAATAGGGACGCAGACCGCTCTGGCTTCTTCCATGTTGAACAGGGATGCAGGGAGAGGTAATTGGAGTACCCCTTCAGTGGGTCTGTCTAAAAGACTCCCACATTGCATAACTCATCTCTAAGGGGAAAAGAAAGTCCTTGAATCATGAATAGGAGATGTGAAGGAGAAGTAAAGGCAAGAGTAAATAGCATTACAAGTTCTTGCTGGAGAACTAGAAAATAGTCAGTACAGGGCAATTTTCAAATGTTCATATGAGAGTCCATTGGAATTTCTTGACAAGGGCTTCCAAAAGCATCTGTCTTTTGGGTTCCTCATTTTTCTTTTGTCTGCCAAGGCTGGACTCTAGAGTGATGGATTCAGGATTTGCTTTAAGGTATTTTGATAGCTGTTGGAGTGGTTAGAATCAGTGTCAGTTCCCTCTCAAAGACTTCTAGATAGGAGAGAAAACAAATTTATCCACCATTTTAGAACAGTAGCTGGTTGTCTCCCTTAGCTACAGGTGGGCACACAGTATTGGAGACCAAGATTTGAAGTCTTACATCTGAGCAGCACTTTCTGGTTAGGAACAAAATCATCAATGAGATATAATTATCTAAATGACTTTTTATATGGACTTAAGCTTAATGTCTGGGAAGTGTAATCACTTGAACTCTTAAAGAAACATACTGATGACTTTTGGTTATACTTTCCTTTTGGGTGTTTAAGACCATACAGTTAGCCCAAATAAATCAATTTATTTTTACACTTTAAGGTCATTTGAGGGTCTGTTCCTCAGGGGTCACAAGGGCTTGAGAGGAACTCCTGGCTCCTTTCTTGTAGCAGTTCCATCTGTGTGACGATAAGTCAAAGGTTCTCCTCAACCATGTCTGGCTTCACTTGGAAGCATGAATAAAATGTTTCCTCTGAGTTGACCCTCCTCTTTGTAAACTGGACACTGATTCAAGTCCATCTCGTGGGGTCTCCGTGGCCTCTCTGAACAAGAGGACAGGTGATTCACCACAGTTACAGGACATTTTGAGAGATGCTCCACAGTCCCCTGGAGCAGGTACATTTTTTAAGTGGTGTCAAAGTCTCCTTTTCTGCCCATCTTACTCGGCTGGCTTTCTAGCTGATCCTCTGTAACCTCAGGCACCACACCTGCTGCTTTCACGCCAACAGGGATGAACAAGTCACAGCTATGCTAGGTACTGTGCTCTTCTGACCTGCGTGCTGTTAAGTGCTTTATAACCTGTGCATTTATTACTGAAGTTTACCAGCCATTTCAGCTGCTGCTGGTCTGCCATCAGTGAAGATAGTCAGAGGCAGTTCTGAAAGAGGAACCTAGATAGATACTGAGAGATAGTAGCCCCAGAGATGGCCAACAGACATATTTCCATAATAGAGAGGGAAGACAGGACTTTGAAATATGGTGCTTAACAGCTATTTTATAACCACAAAAATGTCTATCCCTAATAGTAAGATGTGGATGGGGGTTGGTATTTGGTGAGTATGTGTTCTAAATGTGAAAAGCCTGGTTTGTCTTTGTTTTCATTCTCCCATTGGTGGCTAGCAGGTAGTGAGTCCCCTGGCCCACAAGGATTAGCCCACTGGGCAGCCTCATTCAATTCCTCTCACCTTTGAGCTTTTGCTCCTTCCCAGTTCTGGGATGCCAGTAACTTTGTTTTTAAATTTCTGAATTTGGTAAAGATAGTCTGAATGACCAGCCTGTTTAAGTAGCATGGGCTTTTTTGTTGTGCTTGCTGTTTATAGTCATGAAATGAACTGAGAACTTAAAGAATATTGTTTGTAGCATAACATACTATGTATTATTAAACAGTATTCAGTTATGTTTGTGTGGGTGTGATTCATCCCTTAAATTTATTGCTACATTTGCTTGACTTTAAAGGATTTAGTTTGGGTTGTCAGTAGACATAATTTTAAAACAAAACAAGATAAACATGGTGGCACAGGTCTGTAATCCCATCACTCAGTAGGACCTCTGTGAGTTTGAGGCCAGCCTGGTCTACACAGCGAGATCCTGTCTTAAAAAAAAAAAAAAGAAGTAGATAGTTGGAGGAGTCTTGGTGAAGACAGAGAATTAAGAAACTAGAGTAAGGGGGCTGGAGAGATGGCTCAGCTGTTAAGAGCTCTGGTTGCTCTGGTTGCTCTTGCAGAGGACCCAGGGTAAGTTTCCAGCACTCACATGTTGGTTAATGACCGTTTGTAAGTCCAGTTTCAGGGGATCTGATGCCCTCTTCTGACTTCCATGGGCATTGCACTATGTGGGTGCACTTACATACATGCAGGCAATACACTCGTATACATAAAATAAAAATAAAATATTTTTTAAAATATGTACCAGTCTGATGCATTTGCTAAGAGTGGACAGCAGACTTCTGGCTTTCACCTTTAGTCACCAAAACAAAAATATTTATGTGAGATCTCATTTGTGTTTCAAATCAGCTTATAGTACTGCAGTGTTGATCCTGAAATATAATTATCAGTGCTTTTATTATCTCAAATCTTCATCAGATACTAATACCGTAGGTATATAAAAGCATTAAGCATAACTGAGAATTAGCTATTTGGATCATTTGTGGCAATTTTTATCAGATTAGCACATAGTTTTCTTACTGGGTTTTCTTCTAATTAAGACTGAACCTAAGATTAGTAAATTGGAAAAAACTAAATATATTTATTTTCTTTTGGGCAAATTCCTGATAATTTCTTGGAACAATTTTAATGAGAGACATTAAAATACATCTATTTTTATATTAGTTGTGCCTTAACTTAGTTGTGCCTAGCAGCTGTGTAATTATTTTGACTAAATTATTCATGTCTTATTTCCAAAATGAGTATGTCTTATTTTACAGTGTATATAATTACTTTTTTTCTCTCTGAATAAAGGGTATAGAAAATGAGTCGGATGCTTTCTAAAAATAACATTTTTGATCATCTCAGTATCTATGCTAAAATGCCCTCAGCTATGAATTTACAACATAATTAGAAGGGTTTTAGACCACAAAGAGTTAATAGCTGTTATAAAGACTTACAGGTTTTGTTTGTTTGTTTTTGGCTGAATACTGCTTTGAATTTAACTTCTCAGTAGAAATAAATACTCTTTGCTAAAGTAAGCCAGTTTCCTTAATAAAAGGTGATGGCTTTTCATTTGTATGCTTTTAGAGTTAACACTAACAAAAGTGCTAGTCAATTTCATATCTTTAAGCTTCACCTCCCAAATTGTATGCTATTAAGTATAGAAAATGAAATAAAATGTGAGTAGATAGTAAAGTGGATAATTATTAGGTATTAGGTTTATAGTTTACATCAGACCTTTATATTTGAAAAATGAATCATATAAAAGATATCCTGTTGGAAAAGATTCTTTTTTAAGGTATAGTAAAGAACAAGGTGATAATGGTGATTTTATTCTTATGAGGGAGCTGATTAACTGAGGAAGATAGATTTATCAAACTTACTGAAATAAAAAGAAATGTTCTGACAAAGTTCTTTTACCTCTGCATGGCATGGTTATATTATTCATGTTCAAACAGATATTCTTTGATTATGAGTAGTAGATGAAATAGACTACTTTTAAATAGCATAATTGATAGCATTTATAAATAAGTTGTTTTTTGTTTTGTTCTGTTTTTCTCTTATCCCCACCAGGTCAAAGATTCTAAGCTACCTGCGTATAAGGATCTCTGTAAAAGTCTGCCATTCCCAACCTATTTCCCTGATGGAGATGAAGAGGAACTTCCAGAAGATTTGTATGATGAGAATGTGTGGCAGCCTGGCACACCTTCTATCACGTTTGCCTGATGTCAGTAGACATGGCAGAGCATTCCGTGTTTTGTGAGCTCTGATGAACCAGAACAGTGTTACAACCAGGGATCATACTCTCCTGCTTGGTTTGATACCACACCTCATCTCTATCAAAGGACATGAGTTCATCATTCACCCCTCACTTGAATCCTATGAGCAAAATTACCACATTAAAGAAATCAGCAGATTCCATTTGCTAAAATGACATTTTCTATATTAACAAAATATTTTCAATCTGTGGACTTCATTCTTTGCAGACATTAATATTTTTATTTTATGTGTATGAGTGTATTGCCTGCATGTAAGTGTACCTGTGTCATGCAGTGCCTGCAGAGGTCAGCAGAGAGCGTCAGATCCCATGGAACTGGAATTATTGACAGTTGTTAGCCACAGTGTGGGTGCTGGGAATTGAACCTGGGTCGTCTGCAAGAGCAGCCAGTACTTTTAAATGCTGAGCCTTCTCTCCAGCACCAAGATTTAACAGTCTTAAGGAGTGGTTGTAAAACAGTAAACACTGATAATAGAGACTGTGGTGCAGCCTATTTGGATAAAAGTAACCATTTCTTTTTAAAAACTTCATCGTTCTTTCTACAGTTTGGAGCCTTGAAGGGAGAAAGGTATTTTTTAATCTAACCACAGAAACACGTTTGTTATAAATGGAGACTGATGATACACAGCCCTAGCACTGGCCCCTGTGGAGCCAGGCAGTGCTGGGCCTCTGCTTTTTAACCCTGCAGAGCATGGCAGTGCTTCATTTCTCAGAATTTCTTGGATTCTGATTTGAGCTTGAACCTGATTTGCCATTTCAGATTTTTGTCTTGAAGTGGAGAATTTTTTGTAACTGAACTTTATTCAAATTAGATACTTGTTCCAAAGTATTTGGTACTAGTTGTAGATAATAAGAATTATACTGAACCTTAAGTAATTCTCTAAGCCTCAGGAAGACCAACTACAAGCCTGGTATGGGCATGCACACCTGTCACCTCAGCAGTAGGGAGATTGAGGCAGGGAGAATTTAAGGCCAGCTAGAGCTACGTAGCCAGACCATGTCACAAAACACCACACAAAAGAAGGTCAAGATACCTGCTTACCCACTAAGTGTGGGCTGCCTGCCTTTCTAGACATTTGGAACCCCTAGTCTTCCTGCTAGGGTAGCCAGAGCTACAATCTAATGTGGATCAGCCTGTCTCCTCAGTGGCCCTGGCTTCCATAATTAGATGATGCTAGTTATCACCGACTGACCTGTCAGCAAGAGCACTTCTTGCACACGACAGATGAGGAGAGACAACTTAGCAGAGTAAAGTAGCTCCGAATCAATAATTGTTTTGCCGCCTTTAATCTGAGTACAGACAAGGAGCAGTATCTAAGAATGACTTTTCCAACTTAGAGCCTCATGTAAATTTATGAATAGAGCCCAATTATGTCTCAGAATGTATGGTGGGATCAGAGGTGGCAGAACAACAGAGGAAATGGATAGTCTGGAAAATGTGAATTCAAGCTGAGGGAAGAGGCAAGGGGAAAAGCTCTGCTGATAAAATTATTTTAAAAAGCAAATGGGGAAAAGAACTTTAGACTTCCTACCTGTAAAACTAGGTAGTGTCTCCCTGCCTGCAGGACTCCAAGGAGGAGGCCCTTGTTGTAACAAGGTTGAGGTAATGAGCATTACGACACGCAGTCACACCAACAAGCTAAGTCAGCACTAAGTACTTTTCATTCTGCAGGACAAACCACCAGTCTGCAGGTGGTCAGAAGAACCCCTCTGAAACAGGATGTGTCAAAACGATAGCCTTTTCTTTTTCCAGGAAAGCAGCCCCTTCAACACAAGTCCACTGCCTTCAGAAGTACAGCCAGTCATGCCGTGGAACCTGCTGCAGGAGGACAGAGCTGCACCCAGGTTACTGACTCTGGATGCATTTTCTGGACCTCCAGGATGATGATATGAAAGCCTTTAAAACATGTTGCTCGTCAGAGTATAAAACTGTCTGCCAACCTCTGGCATTGTCTCTTAGTCCGCATGGGATGTCTACTTTGCTTTCTGTGGTGGATTCCTTTCCTTTGGGAGGATGTGTTAAGCTAAAAAATGGCCATTCTGACCTGTTTTGCTTAAATATCACCACTTTGGAAGTTGTTTGAATTTACCTAGGAAAGGTATCAGGAAAAATGGATGTGCCCAACTTACTGTGTTTTGATAAATACATTTGTGGCAAAGCACTTTAGTGAGGAGGTGGGGCACGTTTTGGATACCCGCTGTGCTGAACTGCTGAACCAGGATAGCATTTGGAGATGGACAGAAGTAGGCTGTCGTGCTGGGAGGCCAGTGGGCAGGCACCTCCAGGAGCTTCGTAAGCATACCTGGCATTGCAGCTACCTGTTGCCATGTGGGAAGAGTTCTGCACATGAAAGATTACTTGACTAATGACAGATTAAGTTTCTCCTGCTTTGGGGAGTTTTTTATACATTTGACTTTGAAGAAACAAAAGACAGTTCTTCAGTTTGTTTTGTGGTTGATCTGCTATAAGTTCTCTTTACTCGCTCGTACATGACGGTCTCTGAAGCACACTGCACCAGGCAGATGCCCACCCGCCATTAAGACTCTTAACCTAGCCAGGTATGGTGGCTCCCGCCTTTAACCTCAGCCTTCAGGAGGCAGAGGCAGGTGGATACATGAGTTTGAGGCCAGCCATGACTACACAGAGAGAGCCTGGCTCAAAACAAGTGCTCTGCCCATAGCCATTGCCTGGGAGTTCTGAAATAAGACTGTGTCCTTGTCGCTTCGGGAAGTAGTCCTGGGTGCATGCTGTGGCCTTCATTTCATCATTTGCTTTTCTGCTTCTCAACACTGAAGAACTTTTAGCAGTCCATGTTGCATGTTGTTTTTCATTCTTTTTAGATTAATGAGGTGGTCTGTTAAGTTTGAGGGGCCAGATCCATCGTACTGAATGAGCCCACAGCAAACAAAAGCAAAGAAATGATTTTTACTCAAAGGGCCAGAGTGTCTTCAACATGGGAGGGGCATAACTGCTGAAGCCTGTGATGAGGACGGCAAGAGTGACGGCTGGTAATCTTGATTCTCAAGAAAAAGCAGGCTTTATATAAGCACAAAGTATCTTTCAGGGCATTTAGACAGTTGGCTCTTTTAAAGAAAAAGGGAAAGGCATCCATCAAGTTCTGATGTACTGTATCCTCTGTTTGGGGAGCTAACAGACTCCATCACAAAATCCTGGCAGAAATGGATGGCTGTGGTAATGGGGCTCTGTCAGAAATGAAGAGTAATAAATGGCCTTCGCAAGTGTCCAACATGATTTCCCTTCTCTAATGTGGCGTCTTGTTTAAATGGTGAAGCAAAGATGCCAACAGCTGTGGACTGGCTCTGCCTGCTGGCTGCAGGACTATTGAGTCACACGCTGTCCCTTACCCCGCCCTCAGGAAGTGTGACAGGTTGGGAATTCAAGCTGAGGGAGGAGGCAAAGGAAAAAGCAAATAGGGAAAAGAACTTTAGACTTCCCTTCCCACCAGTAAAATTGGCAGCGTCTCCCTGCCTGCATGACCCCAGGGAGCATGCCCCTGTTGTAACAAGGTTGAGGTAATGGTACAAAGCCCCTTTTAGACACCCCTCACCCCAGAGAGAAGCCTAAGGTTCCGTAACCCAGAGCCATTGAGGTAGGCTGTTCATGAAAAGAGGGAGAAGACACAGGAAGGACTCTGGGCACTGTCCTCCAAAAGACAAGTCTTACTTCACCTAGCTCAGTGGTGTTCCACTGTCTACAAGTTAAAACCTACAGGGCTTTTTAAACCCCCATCGCATATTTCCAGAATCTTAGTGGGAGGGGAGGGACCCAGACACTGGTTTTTAGAGCTCCCCAAGTGATAATGTACAACCAGAAGGTCCTGACCTGAAGCACCATGCTACATAGGCAGCTGTGCCATTGGAGAACAGAGGCCACTAAGTGGGAGATGCACTTAAGCAACTCAAGATAGAGAAACCTTTAGAAAAATTTAACAAAATAATGCTCAAAGTGAATAGTCCTGTGTATTTTAAGGTGTTTGATGTTCATGCAAGTACTCTCAGGAAAATGTGTAACATCTTGTAAAACTGCAAATGTTAGTGTCATCAACCACCCTGTGTTACAGGGGGAGAGGACTGGGATTTGCTCGGGGGCTCATTAAACAAGAGGTCTATCTATCCTGAAATCATGGTACCAGAGTTTCCTGTCTGTATGACAGCCTGGAATTGTGGTTTCTTTAAAGAATGCAGTAAGATACTGACATACTTGGTTTCCTCTATTATGAACTGTAATTTGATCTCACAAAATATAGAGTTGCTTCTGATTGCTTTAAAAATGTATACTGTAGTTCAGTAGCTCAAATCCATGATAAAAATCACAAGTGAAATGAGGTGTCAGTCTTAACTTGTCTGAAGTTTCAAAGTGTCATCACTGTTTGCTTTTTTATTGATATTTTCTCCTATGCTCGCAGCAAGTGTTAAAAGTTTAGAAAATGTTACTTAGAAGAAAAACTTGAAAATGAAGATATTTTTACCTGTTAATTTAGTTTCTTTTTCTGCAAATTGGAATAGAACACAGCTGCTGTTTTCTTTTTGTGACAAAATACTTCAGTGCAATTCAGGAGAGCCAGTGTGGCAAGGGACCATCTCAGAGTGGGGCAAAATTACACCACCAGATCCCTAGGGTTGACTTCATCACTGAATTCTCTCTCCTGGGTGTCAAGCAAGACACAAACCACATGGCTTTTAGGTATTACTTCCTCAGTTTTTTTTTTTTTTTTTTTTTTTTTTTTTTTTTTTTTTTTTTTTTTAAAAAAAAGAGGACGATAAATCTTTCACTGTGATATATCCGTGTAATCCTCACCCACTCTGCCAGGTACATTTTTGCTTTTGTTTGAAACAGTCTTTCTTCATGTAGCCCAGGCTGGCCTCAAACTCTTGTGATTGATCCTCTTCCCTCAGCCTCCTGAGTGCGGGGATTACAGACGGGCATGGGTTTTATGGACCATGCCTAGCTGCATGTAGTTACCTCTGCTTCATAATAAGCACATTGAGGAGAGGTTCTGTAGTGAGTAAGGCTAGTCTAGAAAAAGCCTGGAGTGGCACTCCTTACTCCAGGTCATTCATTCTGGGCAGCTTCCAGTCACCCAAGTTTTCTAATCATTGTGGATAACCACTGAGGAAGGCCTCCCTTCAGCTGCAGGAGACAGAAGTGCCTTTTCCCTATGCTGTAAACCATGGTTTGGCAAAGCATTCTTTAAGGCAGTTCCTGCCATATACCTGAAAGGAGAAGGTGTGTCCTGCAGTTCCTCCCACATACATGAGTCCTTCACCTCTTACCTCCCATAACTGATGATGAAAGGGATTGGCTTACTTTGCCAGAGCTGGTCTTGCTCAGAGCCTGGTTCCCAAAGCAGGACACAAGAGAAGAGCGCATTGAGCAGTTAATTCCCACAGCTGCCACAAAGGCGAGGCTTACCTTCACCAAGCACGAAGGTTCTCCACTCTAGCCACAAGTTAGAGGCTCCCAGAGCTTCAAAATCCCCCATCCACTGTTCCCAGAATCTTGGTGGGTAGGCAAAGACTACCTGACTACATGTATTTATATGTAAAAGTTTATTGAGTTGTTCACTTAAAATCTGTGCACTTGTACATGTTGTAACTCAGGAATTTTATTTTGTCATGAACTGAGTTGAAATCCATTTGTGTACATGGAAAAGTAGAAGCAGAAAATGAGGGGCAGTGGGGGAAGTAGCAGGTGAGGCCCACAGAGGGCAGTGGAGTGGTGACAGTGAATGCCTGTCTTCAAAATTTACCTTAGCCCTTTCACAGATGAAGCAGCTAGACTATTCTAAAATAATACCATGTGATCATACATAATGGGATGCTGTAACTTAAGGAATTTGAAGCCAAAGAAGGATGGACAGGCTGGTTAAGAGCCGTCTCCAGGAGACTTACGCTGACCCCGAAAGGAGGGGGAAAGGACTGCAGCACATGTCTTCCTAATTCCTCTGACCACTCATGTAAACTGAGGTTTGTGAGGCTTTCATTTGAGAGTAGATGGGTCATCTTTTTTGAAAGCACCAATATCGAACTAAAATACCTTTATAAGTTAATGAAGCAGCCAAAGTTATATCATCTCTCTGAAGGGGGCTGTTTAGAAAGGACTGTGGTAGTAGATTCTCAAAGCATGAGGCTTCAAGAGACAGTTGGCACCTAAGTGAATGTATTCAGTTACACCAACAGTGTAGAGGAGCCTCTCCCATACCCTGGACACTGCGAACTTGGAGGAGATCAAGATGTGTAGCTCACATCCCTCCCTCTAAGCGCAAAGTCATAGGGTTATGTAACAGAATAATATTAAGAAATGGAAAGTGGGACTTTGGGACTTGTGGTCAACAAAATGAAATAAGATCATGCTTTTTTTCTTTCTTTTTTTTCTTTTACCTCTGTAACATAAAATAGAGCAATGAGAGATGAAATAGAAAAGTAGGTGTGTTTTATAAGATCAACTCAAAAAAGAAGGGGGGAAAAGCCCATGAAGTGAGAACAAACTGAAGCCCAAGACTCTTAGGACATGGATTAGAAGAAATTACAGTGTCAGGGGCTGAAAGGGACTCAAATGTTTCAACCAAACGGTAAGACCAAAGTCACTTTTTATGTGAAGCCAGAGGCTCAGGAAGAGTTTCACTTCTTCTGTGTGTGCATCAGTGTTGGGGAAGAACAACTGTGTCACTGCCTTTGCACTTTCTGCCCCAAGGCTGTTGGTGGTTGCTATCTAAATGTCATAACTAAGGATAATCCAAGTTTCCACTGAATCAGTAACTAGATTTGCACAGTCTTCAGTATCCCCAGCAGTCGGCATCTTGTGAGACCATTTGGCCAGAAAGCCCAGGAGTCACCAGACATCAGATGAGGACAGATGAGCACTCAGGTAAAGAAATAAGAGAAAAAGATAATTTTCCCATTCAAAACCAAAATTACAAATCACAAGAAGAAATCAAATGCCCAGAAAGAACCTACACAGTCAACAAGCAAGTGTTCTCATTAAATTAGACATCAGTTCCAAAAGATGCCAAAATTCATGTGTTCTGGATGCCGCTATGGTCTCAGTGCTGCCCCCCTACCCCCCCTTTTCTATGTTGAGGCTTAATAGTCAATGTGATGTCGTTAAGTAGTGAAGCCTTTAGCAGGTGAGCAACCTGTGAAAGCAGAGCTCTTACAAATGAGATCAGTGCCACGGAGTGCCTGCTGCTTTATCTTGGACTCTGTTCTTCATAAATTAGCTAGTTAAGTATTTTGTTACAGGAACAAAACACATGATGAAAAAATGAATAAAACTATAAATTTCATTCAGCATGGCAAGAAATTACAAAATAAAACCAGCCAGAAAGGAAATAGAAATTGATCATTCTGATAAATTACTATAAATATTAGGGGAAAATCAGTATCTGCTACAAACTTTATATGATTGTCAGTTTCTTTTCCTGTTACTGTGATAAAAATACCCTGACAAAAGCAACTTAAGGGAAAATGGGTTTATTTGGCTCACAGTTCCAGGTTATCTTCCATCACGGCAGGGAACTCGGCACCGGAAGCCAGAGAGACCTGATCTCAAGAACAAAAAGCAATGAATTCTTGCATGCTAGTACTCAGTTTTCCCTCTCCATTTTATACAACCCAGGATTCTCCCACCCAGGGACTGGTCCCACCCACAATTAAGATGTGTCTTCACACATTAATTAACAGAATCAAGACAATCCTTCACAGACATTCTCAGACACCTCGGTCTAAACTGTCCGCAGCTGTGCCCAAAGGCTTGCCTCCTAGGAGTCAAGTTGACAATAGTAACCATCACAATGATTAAAAGACCTAACAAAGCAGAAGGCAAAGAAAGTCATGTAGACCACAACAAATGTAAGCAGATAAAATTTCCTCATAAAATATAGAAATTAAGAGATTAGATAAATAAGAATCTAACTTCATGTCATTTATGACATCTCTTAAAACCATAAAAATTTAGCATCTTTTGAAAGGGAAAAATATATATCAAAACAGTATTAACAAAATGAAAGCTGTGTAGCACCATCAATAGCTCACAAAATAGAACTCAATGCAAAAAGTATTAATAGGGGAAAAGAGAGACAGTGAATGATAAAAGGAAAAACCATGAGACATGTACCTATGATTCAACTTCAAAATACATACAGAATTACAAAAGAAAACCACTAACACATGAGTATAGGAATTTTGGCATTTCTATCATATACTAAACTAATAGAAGACAGATAAAAACCAGTAAGGATGCAGACGAATTAAGGAACACAATTAAGGTGGTTAGAGATTCATGGTACTGCTACTTTCTGGCAGCATAGAACTCCCACTGGACTCTTCTAGGAACTTAGTAGTTTTTGACTCTGTTCTGAAAGCTTTCAGTACTGTCCTGGATGAGACTCTTCCTTTCCTTTCTTTGTGTACCAGTGACAATAAAAGTAGCTAAGATTATTGGACCAAGCCAAGGCATAATTAACTGTTGCGTAATTTCATCTTCTAGCAGTTCTCTATCGTTGTGTTTTCCAGTATGGGAGCTACTAGTCACATGTGACTCTTGAACATGGATGATTTGAATTGAGATGTGGCATCAGCATGAAATGCACACTGCAATTATAAAACGTAGTTCAAAAAGAGTAAAACATTGCATTCATCATTTTTATATTTTCTACAAGTTTTGTTTGTTTGTTTTGGTCTTTTTGAGACAGGGTCTCCCTGTAGCCCCAGCTGGCCTGGAACTTGCTATGTAGACCAGACTGGCCTTGAACTCACAGAGATCCGCCTGCCTCTGCCTCCCAAGTACTGGGATTAAAGGCATGCACCACAACAGCCTTGTATATTTGCTGTAGGTTGAACATCATTTCTCAGAGACTAATAGTAGAGTTCCCCTGTGACTACAACAGAACAAGAAGAGACAAGACTCCTGGAAGTCGAGTCTAAGCACAAACAAAACAATAACCAAATGCAAACCATAAAAATGGTCAAACATTCCTGCCTCCTAGTTGATATGAGTGACTCTTCTTAAACCATTACTGCTTGTACCCTGTTTATTCTTGTCACCTCTTAGATAAAATTTAATGAGGTGTAATAGAATTGTTCCAGATGGCAGACAGCATCCAATCCAGAGCAGACCATATCCAATCCAGAGCAGACCTCACTTTGAATTCAATAAATCATCAGTACAAGTTCAACTCTATAATAACTGACTCCCAACAGGCTTTTTCTGAAATGCCTGGGAGAGGGGCTTTGCACTATGTAATGCAGCAAGCCAGTGAAAGAACTTTGTTTAATTGAAGCAGATTGTTGACAGTCCGACTGGAGGACATTGACAACCCTA